TTTTCATTCATGAGGCTCAGAGAGGTTAGGTGGACTTGCCCAAGGTCCACACAGGCTTGACTGCCAGAGGCGGGATCAAGCACAGGTCTGCTGGACTCTGACCCCGGAGCCCACCCTGAGGCATCGTCACGTTTCCAAAGTGACTGGTCTCCTGAGCCTCACGTGATCCCAGAGGAAGGCAGGACCGTGCTCCTCCCGTTTAGGGGTAAGAGGACTGAGGCTGGGACAGGTCCCTGGGGGTCCTGGTCCCCCCTGTTCCCAGTCCTGGAGCCCCAGGCCCTGGGCCCCTCACCTGCTGTCCTCTTGCAGGGTGTGACCGTCACGGCTCCAGGAGATGTGGGGTGCAGGGTACCCAGACGCCGAGCAGCTGACCCTCACCTCCACGCCCTGGGAGAAGCGCTGGGACCTGGTGTGGATGCTGACCTTCGGGGCCTCTGCAGTTCGGAGTGGGCAGCAGGACAGAGCCTGTCAGAGCAGCCAGGCCGTCCCAGCCCCAACCCTGGGTCCTGCCCTCCCACGGCCACGGCCACCGACGGCAGAGACACAGGAGGCAAAGGCCCTGAATCCCAGCCACCCGGGCACATCCCCAGGGTGCACGTGGACTGCTTTCCCAGTGCCCGCGGTGGGAGCTCCCTGGAGTTCCCCTCTGGGCCGAGCACCTCGGCGAGGCTTAGGGAGATGCCCGGCAGCTGCCAGGGCTGGGATGGCTCTCGCCTCCGGTGACCCTGAGTGGACCCCAAGGCCCGCACAAGTGCTGGCCCCAAACGCAGAAAGCACGCCAGACTGGCCGGGCTCCCACAGAGCTCACGGCCCTTGCCTAGAAGTGGGAACACGCCCCTCCCACACCAGTGGCCCAGATACGGCCTCAGAATCCTTCCCCACTCCCCCCAGGCGCCAGGGAGCACACTTGTTACGACACTTTCACACTTGGGGATACAGCACCCCAGTGGGGCGGCTCTGTCTGAACCCTGGCAGACCTGAGGTCATGCCTAGGTCCTAAGACTCCCAGACAAGTGCTCTCCCAACTGTCTCCTCCATCCCTATCTGGTCAGTGCTGCCCAGCCCTGGGCTTCAGCAGTTTCCAGTGTTCCATCCCTATCCTACATATTGGGGCGGGGGGAGGAGGGTGGTGAGTGGCAAGGCAGGTGCTCAATGGCTCTGGAAAAGGTCAGGACACAATGAAATCGGCTTGGCTTACAGCAGTAGGAATTTAGGTTAGATAAGAGGATGAACTTCCTACGAGTGAGAACCACTAGGCATAAGCTATGAGGCTCAGACTCCTTTCTCTGAAGGTTCAGAAAACGGGGAGGGTTGAGGTTGCCTGCCAGAGGCCATGTCTGGGCACAGGGAGGGGCGGAGGGGCGGAGGGACGGAGGGAGGGAGGGACGGGCTTTGGGGGTAAAGACTGGGTAGTGTGTGGCACTGGGAGGACAGCACGCGAGAAGAGCCTCACCTCGCACCAGGAGCCAGGCGGATGCCCTCGTGACCCCGTTGGCGTTGCTGGCTATGCACTGGTACCGCCCGCCGTCGCTGGGGACGACGGCGCTGACCTCCAGGGACAGGTCGTCCAGCTGCCTGACTCTGCCCGTGGAGGCCGGCAGGACCCGCCAGTCCCGCACCCACGTCAGGTTGTGGGGGGCCTCGCCCAGGACCCGGCAGGACAGGACGGCCGTCTCCCCTGGGGACACGGTCACGTTGGGCGCCGGGACCAGCTGTGGCGGAGGGTCTGCAAGGACACACGCATGGGAGGTTCGCCGGGGCTGACTGGGGAGGACAGCCTGCTGGTCCCCTTGGGGTCCCGATGCCAGAACCCAGCACCGTGGCCGTCCGAAGACTTCGGCCAGCAGGGAGGTTAACGGTGCCACCCGGGGAGGGCGCATTCCCTGTCGCCATCACACACCCACCGAGGGCTGCGTGGCGAGTGCGCGCTCTGCTCCCGGCAGCCAACTGCGGTGTCTAACAAAAGCTACGCTTTGAGCCAATATTTGCACCCTTGGGAATAAAGCTTGGGTTTTAAACGAACCCTCAGGAGGGAAAGATTAATGAGTAAAAGCCACGCTCTGTGCAAACAGCGGGCTATTATTACACACAAATGTAGGAAGGAGGCCTCTGCCCCAGAGCCGGGAGAGCGAAGAAACCCGCCGTCTCGCCAAGAAGCAGCCACAAGAAGTGGCGAGATTAGAGACCCGCTAACCAGGGCCGTGGGCCTGAGAACCTGCAGGGGGGCTGCTAGATCCACACAGGCCACATGTGCCAGTGACCGCGGTGTCCAGGCAGGTGGAGCCTCGGGCCTCCGCAGCTGGCAGGGGCAGAAATGGAATCCTGGGGACCAGCTAGAACTGGAGGAACTATCACTCATGCTCTGCGAACCGCGATTGCTCTGTTCTGATTCAAGAAGGCACCTCCCAGCCTGGCTGGGGGTTCCACGGGGGACCTGGGGGCTCACCTCCTCCCCACCCGGGAGCTGTCTGTTGTCATGGGGAGATAGCAAACCTTGTTACAGAAGCCAGAGCCGCCAGCCCTTTGAAGACCCCCAGCCTTTGCACGCCCACAGGCCTCTGCAGGTCTCCAGCCCCCATGACCTGTAAACTGCCCACCTGGCACACCCTTTGGCTGCTTCCCCATGTCATCGCTGCCCTTCTACCCAGTCTGAGCAGCTGGCTTACGGTGGGGGGCGGAGCGGATGCCTGCGGCAGGATTGAATAAACACTCATAATGACCCAACCCCGTCTCTGCTGGATTGGCTCACGCAGTGACAGGCAGCGCAGACCCACGGACTGTCTGGTTACAAGATGAATGCGGCCACGAATTTCTCTTTAAATAAATTTACACCAATGCATCATGCCGGTGCACCCCGATATGCCAGCGTGCAGAGGGGGGCACCTGTGTTTCCGGGGAGGCCAGCAGCAGACGCTGACTGTAGTGCATTAGACAGCGACAGGGACTTGAAAGTCGAAGCCCTGAGTTTGAATTTAACATAGTTTAGCCGAGAGGAGAGAGAGCAGATACGGAAAACGGGGAGCCGCTGCGAACTCTCAGTAACGGGCGGACAAGTTTCCTGACGCAGTTCTACTTCTCTTTGCTCACCATCATTTAGAAAAAGCAAATTTTTGTTAATTCCCGCCCTAAGCATGTGTGCTCACGTGCTCTACTGTGAGGTGATAACAGCCCGGGTTGTTGTAAGTATGCACACTATTCTCCCATTTTCGTTGAAACGCGCGCGCAGATAAAGGTCTGAAAGGAAGCGAGTCAACGCGATCCGGAGGGCGCCTCTGGGAGGGCGCCGGGCCGCTCCGCCCCGCTGCCTGTTTCCCAGTCTTCCTCCGGGAAGCCCCGCTTTGTGTAAGATCCGGGGTGCGGAAGGCCTCGCTCTCCACGCTGTCTGGCTCCTTCCCTTCTCTTCCCAAGAGCGGGGGTTCACAGTTTAGAAAATAAAGCCAGCCGTAGCCGGTTTGCCTCTGTGCATAGAGCGTCAGCCTGCGGACTGAAGGGTCCCGGGTTCGATTCCGGTCAACAGCACATGCCCGGGTTAAGGGCTCGATCCCCAGTGGGGGGCGTACAGGAGGCAGCCAATCAATGATTCTCTCTCATCATTGATGTCTCTCTCTCTCTCTCTCTCTCTCTCTCTCTCTCTCTCCCTCTCTCTCTCTCTCTCTTCCTCTCCCTTCCTCTCTGACATCAATAAAATTTTATTTTTAAAAAATAATTTAAAAAAATAAATAAAACCTGCGCTGAATGGTGCCATTCCGTGGGGATGTGGAGGCACAGGTGTCAGGGCTGCAAGATGAACAGTGGCCCTGGAAAGGTCTGGGGGCCGGCAAGTCCCAAAGGCCAGACCAAGCAATCAGGGAGGGAGGAAGGCTGGGCAGGGGGAGCGCGGCCAGAGCCGAGGTTCCCAACCTCTCTCCAACCGAGACCCGCCATCCGGGCCATCGGGGTGAGACAGCCCCAGCGGGGCCGGCGGGCAGGGGGCAGCGGCAGCCAGACCCGGTGAAGGACAGTCCCCAGCAGCTGGCTGGCACCTCCCCCACGGACGGAGACTCCCCGGACGGAAATCCTAGAGGGAAAAGTCAGCGAGGGGGTGGGGAGGAGAGACCCGGAGGGACAGACCTGTGACGATGACCTCGGCCTGCGCCCGTCCGGTCCCAGCCCCGCTGACCGCTGTGCACTCGTACGTGCCTTCCTCGGCCTTGGAGGCCCGCGGGATCTCCCAGCTGCTGTTCCCCGACTCCCTGCGAACACACGACAGGCGGGCACACACCGTCACACTGCCCCCAGCCAGGGTCCCCCGCCTCCCCCACCCTCTGGGGCCCCGTTCCTCTGAACCCTGGCCGGCGGGGAGGCCCAAATCCTCTTGGAGGCCTGATAAGAGGCAGGCAGCCAAGGACATGCAAATTCCACAGGATGCTGTGTGGCTCTGCGCAAGTCCCTGCCCCTCTCTGAGCTCTGGACTTCCATCCATAAAGGGGAGAGTCTTTCCTGCCCTGGCCCCGTGGAGCAAGGCCCTGCACGGGTTGAGTTTTCTGCAAGCGAAGGAAGCCCCGTGATGAGCAGTGGCGGGAACCTCGGGGGCTACCCTCCCCCATCCCTGGCCCCACTGAGAGGTGCCCAGGCTGGGCTGCCCTGGAGGACAATATGACCAAGCCCTAGGTTCCTCTCCTGCCACCCACTCCCCTCAGATCCCCGAGGGCATCGGGACCCCCAGGAGCCCAGTGGCTGAGGACAACGGGCTGGCCGCGGGCCACTCACTGCAAGTGCCGCTCCTCGCCCAGCCTGGCTCCATGCCGCCGCAGCTGCAGCCGGAAGGGGAGGGCGCTGTGCACCGAGCAGGGAGACCAGCAGGGGCTGGTGCAGGTAGCCGTGGATCCTGGGGGGCATGCTGACTAGGGGCCCGCCTGCAGGCAAGGACCAGCGCTCAGCAGGCCGCCCTGCTCCCCACAGCTGCCCGCCCTACGCCCAGACACACACCCACAGGGAGGAGCCAGGAGCAGAGGCCTCTCCAAGCCTCAGTCTCCGCCTCTGTAAAGTGGGGCTGATCGCGCTGGCATGAGGAGTTGGCGAGAGGTGGTGAGTGGGAAGCGCATGGCAAGCTCCGCCCACGAAAGCTCTGTGGGTTCGGATGGTTTGTGACACGCTGGCTGCGATGGGCCAGTCTGTGCTCCATTCTCTCCACTGTATCAGGCCAGACCAGACAGGGCGCCCCAGGGGTAGGGGTGGGGCGTCAACTGCTCATCTGCCCAGACGGTCAGTTCTCCCCAAAGATGTTGGAGGGGAGCCTTTTTTATTCAAAAATAAGCATAGTTGGAGCAGGGCTGCAAAGGCAAAATTCACACGCATTTTTGAGATAAAATAAAAGACTTCAATGAAATCTCACAGCTTGTGATGAGCCCCTGGGGCCCTCAGCAGACACCACTGG